AAAATAGACATTTTAATGTTTAAAGTCTGAGTAGGGTAGATAGACACCTGACTTTAGTCAACTGCCAAATGGTGGTGACATGAGTGTTGATTTAGGTTGTATTGAATGGTGATATTGGCAGACCTGTCTTTGTTGCCATGGTCATGTTAAGGCCACTGTTGGGATTCCAAATCCCAATCACAGAACACAGCCACATCCAAGCTGCTGTCCAGTGACCCCATTTACATCCAAAAGAGCTCTTCAAAATCAGGAATGGACAACAAGCTTAGGAGTCTGGGAGAAAACAATCCCAGAGCATCACATTAACTACTAACTAGAAAATGAAACAATGAAGGAATGAGTGCAAGCATAGAACAAGGAAAATAGTCCATTTGTTACCAGGATGCGGAGTGGGGAGAGAGTGCTTTTCCAGTGAATTTATTAAACCCATTGTTCTTTGTTAATTTACCTTAGATGAGTAATCACTAGATTTTTTTTCAATATGCTATTTGTTGAACAATCCTTTTTATTCCAGGTGTTGTTGTGGATTGAAGGCTACATAGCAAATGAACAAAACAGATCAAGAATTTCCTTCCCTCGTGGAGCTTACATTCTAGTTGATACAAAACCTTCCATTGCCAAAGTGGTGGCATCCATCAGTGCCTTTAAAATTTATATGAATGGGGGCTTCTGGGTTTGTGCAGCTCAGTAAGCGTCTCGATTTCCAGCCTAGTACTGATTCTCGCGTCCGTGAGTTCGAGTCCAGCATCGGCTCTGGGCTGATGGCTCCAGAGCCTGAGATATTTTCCCGATTCTGTGTTCCCTTCTCTCTCGCCTCCCTCCCCCTGTCATGCTCTGTCTCTCTCTGTCCAAAATAAATAAACGTTGAAAAAAATTATAAGGAATGGGATGAAAGGGCAAAAGTGGATGTGAGATGTGGGGAGTATCTAAAGGGAAAAATTACGGCGTCCTGGCGTGCCACTGTCAGTTACGTCAGTTCCAGTCAGCCACGATCTCAGCGGTCCATGAGTTCGAGGCCTTGCTGGGTCTTTGGGCTGATGGCTCAAGCCTGGAGCCTGAGCTCTTCGATTCTGTGTCTCCCTCTGTCTCTTGTCCCACGTTCATGCTCTGTCTCTCGAGATCGTGACCTGGCTGAAGTCGGACGCTTAACTGACTGCACAACCCAGGCGCCCCCATTCCTTATAAATTTTAAAGGCACTGATGGTACCACTTTGGCAATGGAAGGTTTGTATCACTAGAATGTAAGCTCCACGAGGGAAGAAATTCTTGTCTGTTTTGTTCATTGCTATGTCCTTCAATGCCCACAACAACACATGGAATAAAATAGGTGTTCAACAAATACATATTGGAAGAAAAATCTGATACTCATCTAAGAATTCTTAAATTAACAAAGAACAATGAGTTTAATAAATTCACAAACGAAAAGACCTCTCCCCACTCCATCCCAAATGGCACTAATTTTCCCTGTTCTATGTACACACTCATTCCTTCATTGTTTCATTTTCCCACAGTTAGTAGCTTCAATGTGATGCCCTGGTGTCTTCTCCCCAGACTCTAAGCTTTTGTGTCCATTCCTGGTTTAGAAGGGGCCTCTCTTTGATGTAAATGGGGTCACTGACAAGCCAGCAGCTTCTGATGTATTGTGTTCTGTGTAGATTGGGATTTGGAACTCCAACAGTGGCCTTAACATGACCGATGGCAACAAAGACAGGTCCAACAATATCACCGATTCACTGGCCAACCGAACACTCATAGTCACCACCATTTTGGTAAGTTGACTGGAAGTCAGGGTGTCTTATCTGGACTCCTACCCTAGACTTTAAACATTTTTTTCTGCAAATGTCTATTTTTAATTAGGACACTAAAAATTTATATTTGTATATACCTATAATTGCATTGAATTAGAAGCTTCCAACAATGTTCTGAATATCTCCCACCTTGGATCCATTCTCAACTCAGCCTCACTCCACTCTCTAGCCCAATCCAATTAGTCTCCCTTGCTCTCTGGCTGGTGGTTGTTTTCAACCACGGAGACAAGAGACCAAGGAAGTAGGGAAAAGAGAAGTAAGAACATCCAATGGTTTTCTCAGAACTCCTGTCCTTCACAACCACAGCTCTTATTCTGTCAATGACCCTGCTTCTAGACTTCTGCTGTCCTGGACTCCAGGAGTACTCTTTTTTCCTGCCTGCCTGAGCCCTAAGTGCTCCCAGCTTCCTGATTATGTTGGTCTTGGAATGTCAATACCCTACCCTTCCTCTCACCTGCATTCCTATTGGCTTCTTTGACCTGCTCACTCTTCCATAAATAACCCATTTACTAAGGGGTTTTTCGAAAGCCCAGGTAAGGATACTTCCTGCTTCCTATTAGAATCCTGATCATACTCCCATCCAGTCATTGTACATCCACAGGTTGTCCATTTTTCTTCTTTTCCAACCCTAACCCAAGGAATAAAGGACAGGAGTTTCCACCTCTAAAATCTTCACTTTCAGACATTCTTGCTTTATTTGATTCAGTCCATAGTGTTGGACAAATTTATTTCTAAACCTGTTAACTTCTGAGAATTGTTCATCCATGATAAAAACAGTTTTGCTTTTCTGTGACTCCTTTCTCAGGAACTATCACATGGAAATGTAGATTTCTATTTCTATCAGTTTGTTTGAGGATAAGCCTAAATGGGTCTTAAATGTCTGAAGTAAAAAATGTGTAATGAGGAGTAAAAGGGCCTATCGGTAATGTAATTATTATAATGTTATAAAATAAAATAAATTTTCATTTAGCCAAATGAGAATAAGGTTAAAGATATGTGATAGTGAGGAAATGTCCATTATTCGTAGAATAAGGGATTTATTATGTAAGTGTATAAGCAAAGAATTACCAGATATAAGATTTGAGGTGAGTTCAAATAAGAAAATGGAACTGATAATATAAGAAGACTTAGAAATTGTCTTTGAACAAGACACCCGGAAGGAAACGAACCAAAATATGTAGATAAAAGTGAATATTGAAACTGAGATGAAATTTAAGTGAGAGATGAGGAAATGAGACTAGTAGATAGGATGTCTGAAAAGCAAGAGGTTATATTTGCTGATTTAGATTTCCTTTTTGTTAGTAGGTAAAGCTCTTATGTAAAAGCCAGGAGGAGGGTCAGTCATGCAAAGGAAGTCCGGGTGTGAGTACAGATGAAGACCAGATAGGCAGACATCTGGTCTTCCAGTCCCCTCACTGCTGGACCTCAGGTCCAAATGTGACTGTGTCTCTATCACATGTTTCACTCACAGCCCTGCCCTCAACAGTGGAGGAAAACATTCTCATTCACACACTGAGGAGAGAGAGGTAAGAGGGTATAGGGAAGATGAGTTTAGGGAAGGCAGCATGGTGAGTGACTAACTTCCTTACTCTGATATCCTAATCATCATTTTCAAATACTTTATATCTTCTGACTGCGGATGGAGCTTGTGTAAGTAAATTCTGCTTTCCATTATAACAGGGCTTTTATATTTGGTTTGTTTCATATAGGAAGAACCCTATGTGATGTACAGGAAATCTGATAAGCCTTTGTATGGAAATGACAGATTTGAAGGGTATTGCCTGGATCTGTTGAAAGAATTGTCAAACATCTTGGGCTTCATTTATGATGTCAAACTCGTCCCTGATGGCAAATATGGAGCCCAGAATGACAAAGGAGAGTGGAATGGAATGGTCAAAGAACTTATAGATCATGTAAGCAAAAATGCATGTCTTATAGTTGAGTTTTAAGTGTCTGATAAAATGCATAGCTAGAAGTCAAAGAAAAAAAAAATGATTCTAAGTCAGCATCGGAAGAAATGTTACACTTATTTGAATCCTAAAAATGGTTTAAAAAGTAGAAGGAAACAATGTAGAAATAGAGTTGCTTACGTAGAAGGGCAAGTAAGGACACAAATTGGGGACAAAAATGTATGGATCCATCCATCATACGGAAGAGTAAACCTGAGTGATTCTTAAATTTGATAAAGAATTCTACAGTTTGCGGCTCAAAGTCTCATCTTGTCAGCTGATTTTATGACCAAGTGGCTCCTTTTTTGCTTTATTTACATGCCCTTTTTAAAGACATACCCCTGCAGATTTTTCTTCCATTTACTTCCAGAATGTGTGTATGTCTGTGTGTGTGTGTGTGTGTGTGTGTGTGTGTGTGTGTGTGTGTGTGTGTATTTTATACCTTCTGGCTTCTCTTTGCTAGTAACTACCATTTCACAAACCTAACTGTGTAAATCAAATGCTTTTATAGTAAAGCCAATCATTACAGAAGCTTCTTGCATGAAAAACATTTGAAATTAAGAAGTATAGATCAGGAGTACCCAGAAACGTCCAGACATTTGCTGGGAAGTGATACAAATAAGACAATTATTTCAAACTTGCTTTTGCAGAAGGCTGATCTGGCAGTGGCTCCTCTAACCATTACCTATGTTCGGGAGAAAGTCATTGACTTCTCCAAGCCCTTCATGACCCTGGGTATCAGCATTCTCTACCGGAAGCCCAATGGTACCAATCCAGGAGTGTTCTCCTTCCTCAACCCCCTGTCTCCTGACATTTGGATGTATGTGCTCTTAGCCTGCTTGGGAGTCAGTTGTGTACTCTTTGTGATTGCAAGGTGAGTTCGAGAACTACTGAATTTACCAGAGATCTAGGTGTGCCTCAGACTGACATGTGTGTTCTAGAGGTAAATACAGGTTAAGAACATTAAAGTGTTGTTTTAGTTTTGCCTACTGCTCCATTCTGTCAAGTTTGCCCTCACAAAGGCCATGCTGTAAATGAGTATCTTCTAATTTTTTATAAAGTTACTTTTAAAAGACAAGATGATATTTTTTATATGAATTTAACTTTCTCAGTATTTCAAGCAACATAAAATGTTCATTTACCCATTTTCTCTGAATTATATTATAACGAAAGCAACAGCTCACCTAATAAATCTAAAACATTTCAACAGGAAGAGTAAAATGCTGTCCAGACACTTGACCCCTGGAATATTCAGTTAAGCAAAACAGGAGAAAGTTATCTAGTAATTGTTGTAGCAAATGAGAAATACTGGGATGAAACAAGGTTATGAATCCTCAGGAACAAAGAAAAATACTTTGAAGATTTTATAGAATTTATTTTTTAAAACTATAGAGAGTTAAAGAGAATTCTAGAAATAACTATGAAAAGAAAAATTACTAGCATGTAGAGTCTAGAGGCATGAAATATTTATGCTACCATTGATGATTCAGTTTAGGTTTTTTTCCTGAGATAACTCTATATTTAACCATTCCACTTTCCACCATTCTTCAAAGGATTTTTATACCTTTCAGTAGATGATATTTTCTAAATACCTTTGATGGTGAATTTGAAAGAAACACAGCTATTTTCTCTTTCTGTTGGCTTAAACATTTGATATCCCTAGATGGACCGTGTAAAAAAATAATTGCTTTTGTATGTCCCCCACTCATTTTCAATCTTTTTAATCTTTCAACAAAACTCAGTGAACTTTCTTCCCTGATCAATTTTTGTTTTCCCGCCAGGAATTTCGATGAGAAAAATTTCTTCAGGCTAGCTCTCTGTCATTGTCCACTCTCTGGTTTTGATGAATGCCAAGGAACTCTTTCCCTGGCATAATTATAAGGAATGTTTGGGAAAACAACCCAGGATAGAAAAGTCTTAGAGATCCATGAGGCACATATGGTCAAACTGAATGAATGTGTGCTCTCACATGTGGGTATTTATATATTCAACAGGAAATAAATGTTTTCTCCATACCCCATATCTTATCATTACCAGACCCCAGATCATCTTCCAGATTTTGCCCAACTATTAACTACGTTTAAGTAATGATCAAAGCTCTCTTCCATATGTCGTACCACAAAAAAATAATATGTTAAAAGTAGTATAGTGATACTATCCTCTGGTACTTTAGTGCTCTAAATCAATGGTTCTCAACTAGGAGAGACTTTGTCTTTCAGCTAACATTTGGCCCTGTTCTAAAAACATTTTTTTGGTTATCACAACCAAGAGTGCAAAACGGTACTGGTATAAAGTGGGTACAGTTCATAGATGCCACTGAACGTCCTACAGTAGGCACATAGCTCCCCACAATAAAGAATTACCCCTAAATGTCAACAGCACCAAGATTGAGAGACAATGTTTTAAATAATTAAAGAAGATGTTGTTTTGGGTATCAAATTTTCAGAGACAAGTTGCTGAGCTTTGGGGGTGCATTTCTCATTACTGTCTACTAAGTGAAATTAATACAGCCCTAGAATGGCTATTTCAAACATGACTACTTGATGTACATTGTAACGATGGTTAAGACATTTTACATTGGCTCGTTGTTCCATTCCTCTCCTCTGGGGCCCGCATCTGTTGGGTGATATTGGAGACAGTGGAGCAAACCAAACAGCAGAGGGAAGTGGGTTTCCATATCCCCCAGTCTGTGGTTCTGTCTAGGCTGTGATGTTGATGAGTAGAAGAGGCAAGACAATGTTGATGACCAAATATTTAGCATACTGATTTGATCATGGCCAGTGGGAAACAAAACGTATCAGCAGCATCCAGAAGTTCTTATAAGCATACGGGCTGAATGTACCCTTACACTTGACCCCAACTGTGCCTTTCACTTGCCTTTTTTTGCCATCAGAACATGTCTGAATAATGTAACATTTGGTCATTTTCCCCTCCTTACTCTGGTTGTTTCTCTATCAGCTGTTAGTGACCCACAGCCCTATATTTTCTGACTTCATTCTATTTCTATTAAGAACACACCCTGCAATCAATACACTCCACTCAGTGTTCCTACTCACCGACAGCACCATTTATAAACCAGCTCTTCATTTAGCTTATTCTCCTTGTTGCCCCCTACTTGCTACCTCTCCTCTCACTCTGGGTTTTGGAAAGGTGGAATTGTATGCATCCAATGCACACTTGCAAACAGCATGGTGGTGGAACGTGGGAAGTAACTCCCTGAGGTACACAGGTGCACTGCCATGGGGATCATCCTCTCAACTATATTCATCTCTACACCCTTGAATCCATTTCCACTTCTACTTCATAAAGCCACTAAATATATTTTGGAGGTGATTCCCAAAGACAAAATCCTTGTTGAATATACGTGCCACTTCACTTTTACTTCCCACCATCATAGCTAGAGACCATGAACTTGGTCACTCTGCACCAAGAAGCCAAGATGTGAAACAGCTTTCTGTTATCACCTTAGTGGTTTGCATTCAAAATAGTGAAGTAGAAGTAAAAAAGTTAATCTCCTAATCATCTTTAGCTCTAGAGAGGCTTTTGAATTTGCGTTTTGAAGTGTATCCTTTTATGTCCTTTTAAAGGGGAAAAAATAAAGCCCATCACCGCTTTTGGACTAATGTTCTCACTAGACAGATGCTTAAAAATCATTTGCTAAACTGAATTGAATTCATAAAGTTAGACAAACTAAGAAAAACCATAAAAATTTAAGTTACTATGACTTGTTTAGTTTATGATTCTATAAATGTGCATCTCAGTGTTTTTGTTTTGTGGTTAACATTCTTTAATTGCTTTTTGCAAAATATTCAACCCCAAAGAATTATGTCCATCATGAATACACAATTTAAATAAACCAAATATCCAGACATAATGTCTGCTTACATTTTATGATTTATGTTTGCCTTCTTAAACCTGAACATTTTCTAAGTTGGCTTTGGCAAAAAACAAACTGTAACTCAAAGGTTGTAATACAAAGCCAGTGGTTATATCACAAACTCAAATAGAGCTCTCCCCTTTAAAAGATGAACATATCTCCCTTTCTTCATGAGGTCCAATATTCATTCTCAGCCATAAAAAGAATCCCTTAATTAGAGATCTTCAGTCTGAAGATTGTTTTATATCCTTCATTCAAGTAAAAGCTTGGCATATATAAACATAAACCCAAGATGAACCTTTATATTTCAACATAATGCTACTCCTTTATATGCAAATTTTGACACAGATTCTAAGCACATTTGTACCTTTCTCTGTTATTTTACTAAAGATCAGTATCAATTGGGAATAGCAACTTCAGAACATCATTGTGCAGGTCCTATATTAATTTTCCCCCAGCCTTCCTGATGCTGACATTGCTGTCACGTTGGCTACCTTTAAGCAGGCACTGGGCATTTCAAACTGAAATATCTACATCCAGGCAACAGGTGGGTCTATTGCATTATGAAAAAACCAGTGTCTTATAGCCCAGGATCCTACTGATAGCTAATAGTCCTCAGTCCAACCCCAAATCACTCCGAGTCCTAGAGAGAAAGAACCTCAAATATCTCTGCAGACCAGGCAGAGTCATACTGCTGCTTAGGCAGTTTTCTTTTTTTCCATAGAAAATTAGACTAATTGTTCACTTAGAACTGCAAAGTATAAAACACTGACACAAGTTAAAAGCAGAATTTTTTTTTTATTTTTTTTCAACGTTTTTATTTATTTTTGAGACAGAGAGAGACAGAGCATGAACAGGGGAGGGGCAGAGACAGAGGGAGACACAGAATCTGAAACAGGCTGCAGGCTCTGAGCGGTCAGCACAGAGCCCGATGCGGGGCTCGAACTCACAGGCCGTGAGATCATGACCTGAGCCGAAGTCGGACGCTTAACCGACCGAGCCACCCAGGCGCCCCAAAAGCAGAATTTCAAAGAGGAAGTGGTGAGGTCATTGATCAGAGCATACATGAGGAAGAAATACCTGACTATCAGGGGGTTAGTGGTTGCCAGGTTTTATGGTCTGTTTAGAAAACTCCTCCTTTTGAGTGCATGAGCCTCCTAATTTATTGCAATTAGTATTTTAAAATTATTGTACAAGTGACAATGATATTGTTGAAGTAACAGCATCTTTACTGTGCATACTGTTTCAATTAGTGGGTTCATTAATATCGGTATTCATTTCTTCAGCTCAGTAAACTACTATGGTTAGAAGAGTGTATAAATTCAAAACTTAATTATATTGTTGAAACAGTAATTAAAATGTATTGGCATGGCATTATCAATTGCAGCTATATTCACAAGCTTCACAGGAACCTGCGCTGTGAACCCTGCAGCTGTGGAGAAGGTTCAGTAATGAGTTGGATACCATTATTGTGGCGTAAACTATAAGGCTGTTATCCTGGTACCCCTAATTCTGATGAGGAGACCCTGTACACTTTCCAGAAGGTGTCCAGGGTTTTAGGGAATGGTTTTGCATTCAGAGGGTCTGCCCAGTTCCTTGTGCATGATTCATAGTGTGCCCTGCTTTTTGCTCTAGATAATGTATTCACCTTAATCCCAGTTCTCCCCATTGTGTCAGCAACCTGCTATTGTTTACTGCTGAAACCTTATGGCTGGAGAGCATTCCGTATGTTCTTACCGGTTTTATGGGGTTTTAACATTACTCTAACGCTCCTGCTTGCATTCAAAGGACCCAATGGCAAATGGCAAAGCTTCCAGCCTAAGGACTCCTGCATTTTAAATCATTTCCAGATCACTTTGCCGAGCATCTGCTAATGTCTCTTTGGAAAAATAAGTGCCCCCTGGCAAGATAGCCCTACAAAATAACCACAGAGCAGGCAACTCCTTGGGCTACAAAGGTCAGACAGATTTTTCGAAAACAGAGAAAGAACCAAAAATCTCTTCCTCAGATTTTTATTTTCACACATCCCAGAGATATCTGGATTCCATCTTGTTTACAAATAAGGAAACTGAGGCCAGAGAAGTTAAGTGACTTGTTGAAGATCGACTTCCTCACCTGCTAGGGCTGCTGATCAAGTGACTACAATCCGTCATTCTATCAACAAAATAAAAACAAATCAAAAGGGAAATTTGAATGTAAAGCTCTCCAGGGAGACAAGCTATAGAGTTAACACTCATGAACCCTATCCCTATCCCCTGGTCCAGGATACTTCTAAGTTTAAACTTTGTCTCTTCATTGAAAGATTATGATTTTCCTTTCCATATATGAACTGAACAAAATCGAATATACCCCAAATCCACACCTTCTTTTTGTTCACTAATTTTTTCACAATTGCAGGTCTTTTGATGCGTTATGAAATCATTAAACCACATACTTCTTTTAAGCATCTGTCCACAGATGCCCCTCGCAGGCAAGGCACCCCTTCACTTTGTGTCCCCCAGCCTCTAGCAACATAGTATCTTGACACTTGGTATGAAACCAGTGTATGTAGCAGTCATTGCTGCTTGGTGGGGTAAACACTTGGGATGAGTGAACCTTTCTTTACAGCCCAACTAGTTGTTCAGTAAAATGGAAATGAATGAAAACTCAGAAGAATCCAGTAAATGTAGGTCGGAGACGTACAATTCCAGCCAACCAAAGCACTTGGCCTAGAAATAAGAAGTTTGGTAAATATAATGTCTCAAGTCTCCTTTGACCTTGCCCACCAAAGCTGTAAGTTGATGAATATTGCCTTTACTGTTTGGGTTTGATTACTTTCACCATTGATTGTTGGGTTTTCTTTATTGTTCAGCAAGTTTTGCTGGTGCCACGTGCATTTATCTGATGTTTACAGACTGTTTCTGTTAACTATGCAGGTTTACACCCTACGAGTGGTATAACCCCCACCCATGCAACCCTGACTCAGATGTGGTGGAAAACAATTTTACTTTACTAAATAGTTTCTGGTTTGGAGTTGGCGCTCTCATGCAGCAAGGTACATCGGTTGCCCATCTTTGTCACAGGCATCCCAGAGTCTGCTGACAGGCTTTGTTGCTGGTAAACTCCACCCTAAAGCGAGAGGGTAGGCTGAAAAACCATCTCAGGAATCAAAAAAAAATAGAACCTGACCTTCCCAGCCAGTTCTAAAAATAGCAAAGATAAAAATGTGAACTAAATGGAACCTCTTGCTATATTTCTAAAATAAGACTTCTACCAAGCAGTGAATACAAATGTTCCTAGAAGGAAGTAAAGGGTAAAGTACCTTAGAAATGGTTTACAAATTTGCACAGGTGGAGGTATCAGATCTTTCCTTTTCAGCCATAACTGTGCAAGCCAAGGGTTCGAAAGGAGTGGAATTTGAATCCTTTGAAAATTAAGTTGGCTGACATTTTTCCAATAGCTGACACTAACTAAATTGTTACCACTCTGGCAACCCTACTGGGATCCATCTTAGCTTGTAACTTTTCAGTCTTCCTTGATCAGTAAGCACAGCAACAGTAAACTCTCAAGGTTGAGGAAATGAAATCCAATCCACAGAGTTGTAATATATTTTCTATAGTTCCTATCATGTGGGGATTTTGATTTTGGTGGGGAAGGAGGAGGGAGTTTTTTTAAACTTTGGAAGAAATCCAACGCTTTCGTGGATTTTCCTCAGCTTTGATTCTAGGCGTATGGTCTAGAAAAGACTTCCCAAGATTAAATGCATTAATTTAAGAAAATCATAAGTCACAGATGCTGTCGCTTTAGAATAATCTGCTCATTTGACAATAAGCTGCTAAATAAATTGGCAAAGAAAATTCAGCAAGAATATATATTAAACATGTTTGTTACTTGGGGGTGAACCTAAGGCTTCTCATAAGGGAGTTGTTATAATACCACTGGAAATGTTTACATTCTGTGTCTACAAATGATAGAGAGAGAGAACAAGGGTCTGTAGTGTGGAAATGCCAAATATTTGAGGCAAGTGAGTAAATTCTCTCATCTGGCAGTTCAGCATAGTTTATGTGGGCATCGTTAAATACGTATAGACATAGCACCTAATTTACTACGAATCAGTTGGGTAAGTTTAGAGCATCGCACAGAACTTTAAGTTCTGCAGGAAAACCCATTAGAAGCTATATACTGCTTTACCAATGCATTTAATTTTTAGGACATTTATCTTGTAAGGAATTACTTTCAAAAAATAGGGAGACCGACCCCTCCCCCACACACTATAGCTTGCCTTTCTATACCATTAGAATAGAAAAATATAGACATGGGTTTCAAAGAACACGCAGCAAGTCCATGCAGGTATATATGATCATGACTGTCTTGTGTCATATGAGTGCACCCACCTCCCCAAATCTCTTTCATATTCTGTTTGGAGTTTACCATCATCCACAGCAAACCATGGGATGCAGTGTCTGATCGTTACCACTACCTTGGGTACATGACAGTCAGCCCCAACCAGACTCTGCTTGTTTTTCAAGAAGTTTAAAAATATTTGTCAGTTGAAATATCATCGTATACAAATTTGTGGTACTGATGACTCCTAGTGCATCTGTCTTTAGCATGTGGCATTGGGCCAGGTAGCAACCTTCTGTATCAACTGTTGTGCTCTCTCTTGTTAGCAGAAGCTTGTCACTGTACTCAATTGGAAACCATTTGTTTAATTTCTTTTTTAATGTGATGATCAGACTTTCTCTTTTCTACAGAGCGTGAGCAAAGTCTGGATCAGGATTGGCTGTCATGTCTGCCGTAAAAGGCACTAAAGGGACTTCAGCAAGTATTGTCTCTCATCCCAAAATTTTCTAAGGATGTTTCACTCAACTTTTATTGTTTTCATAACTTCATTCTCTCTACTTCTGAACTTGGACAGATCATCTCTATTGAGGAAAGCCATTTCTAAGTATTTCAGTTAACACTGAGGGTCATGAAAGTCACAAAACTATGTGACAATAAAAAACACAATGACATATCCAGAAATCTAATTTATATCATATGCCAAGGGTTTAAAATGCAATCTGAGTAGGTTTCTACTAATTATTTTTTTCAATTTCCACAACTTCATTCAAAAGTACATTTATTTTAAATATGCTAGATGCGAATTTGTATTTTTTGTTACCTGTCAGAGGTTGGTTATCAATGGGTTTATCCAGTTTTGCTGCCGCATAATACATAATTACACAAATAACAAATTACTACCTTATATTTTCACGAATGCTACAAAATAACATAAGCATAAATTTATAGGAGAAAATCTATAACTATAAGCTAAGAAAATATATCTATATTAACTGTATTACTTCTTTCCCATGGCTATTTTATGAAATAAATGGTATTTTAATGATAAGCAACTAAAGATCTAAATAATATCACACTGCCAAAAGGCTGCTAGATCAATTAAGTACAAAGATATGAAACAACCTTGGGCATTAAACACACGCAGACACCCACAGGCATATAAATCCCATTAAACCACAAGATTAAAACAACAGCAACAAACTATCCCACTAAATCCTTGGAGGCAATTTAATGGAAACTATTATAAATCTGTGTAATATTACACACCCAAATTCAAACAAACAAAAGAAGGAAATACAAATTGCAATGAAACTATTTACCTCATTAAAAGAGAATAAAGCTCCTAGATTTCCTAAGAGCATTAGGAAAATATATCTGTTAATTCAAAGCCCGGAAACTCTGCCAACCTTGATCTGCTTATCATGAGCCCCGAGCTGGCTTTGATTTCATGAGCAATATGTGTGTCTGTTTATAGATTAAATTTGAGCATAAACTCATTTATCTGTAGATTGGTAAACTCCAATTCCCCTTTCCATCTTAAGCCATTGACTACAAAACTTCAAAACACCCAATCAGAATAGCGAAAGAATCTTTGAAACCAGATATTTCCCCTGTTCTACTTCACGTTTTGGATTTTTACATTCAGGGTGTTTTTCTTCCACTTTTTAACTAGTCATATAAACTTATCATGCCCCCAAGTTCATGGAGGAAATGCCAAGTACAGAACCCATGGTGAATTTCAGGCAAGCAGAGTAGCCAAAATCTACCCATGAATCAGAACAACTGGAATGAGCCCTGCATATCCCCTTCTATCCCTTTTAATTCTACTACTGGATTTATTGACCTTCATAGCTCAGGTTGACCAACAGTTTTGAGCTAGGGAGTCTTCACAAATGTCTAACCTTTGTGTAAGGACACTTGGCCCATAGACCCTTTCTTTTAGAGAGAAAGGGTCTCTTAGAAAACATGTTAAGTGCCTCTCCATGTTATCTTTCACAATATTCACTGGATGACATATAAAAATGGATTTTTTTTTACCAGAAAGAGCCCCTTTCCACTTAAGAAACAGCCAGTCATTGATGTATAATTAATAAAAGAGCACTTTAAAAAAACAAAAGTATGTTTTTCAATGAATACATTCTCCTCAGTCAATTAAGAATATACATTAGAAAAAAAATAATTTTGACTTTAAAAGTAGCATAAAACAATGAAAAAGGATTCATCTGCTGTCAAGTGTGGCTTTATCCTATTTTATTTTATTGTAAAATCCTAATGTCTTATTAAAGTACATGAGACAAATGGCATAATATGTTAATCTTTTAAAAGTTTCTCATATCCTTTAACCTTAAATAAAAATATGTTAGCACTTCAAAGTTTTCATAGCTGTATAAAAACTGATAAGACTTTATTTCACACAATAAGGTACATATCTAAAAGTTTAACAAAAGCATCCAAAGATTGGGGGTTGACTTTTCAACAAAAACAAGCAAACAAACTCAGATCTAAGCAACTAAACTAACTGTATAAATTTTAGACATAGAATATCTCAGGGTTAAACACATTTAATACCATCAAATGTCAATAAGTTGCATTTTAAGCAGTAATTGTGATTAGTGAAAAAGATTATTTAGATTTTGCTCTAATTCGAAAAAATACTTCTATTTCACCTACACACAAGAGAGCAAGTCTTTGATGGCTTTATAATTTTCATGTCACAAAAATGCATTATCTCTAGACTAGTGTTGAATCATAAGTCTTCTCTCTTTTAACTTTGCTTAACACTCTTATTCTGGTGACACCATCACAGGATCAGAGCTGATGCCCAAAGCTCTATCAACCAGAATAGTTGGCGGGATATGGTGGTTTTTCACCTTAATCATCATTTCATCCTACACTGCCAACCTGGCTGCCTTCTTGACAGTGGAGAGAATGGAATCCCCCATAGATTCAGCAGATGATCTGGCAAAGCAAACCAAGATAGAATATGGGGCAGTCAGAGATGGATCCACAATGACCTTCTTCAAGGTAAGAAACTGACAATGGGTTCTCAATGGTTACCTCATACCGAGGGGAGGGAAACGTGGAATAGAAGAGTCTCTCTTAAAAATAAAGATGGGGGGGGGCAGGTTTAAAAAAAATAATAAAATTTACTATGACACACTCCCATTACAAGGAACATATGTGCCCCCAGCAGTCAGTATAAAGCAGTTTCTCTGGTTCCTCTATCCCCAGTTTAGTACACTCAGATCTATAGGTCAGCATCTTCTTGCCGTCACTAGAACAACAACAGCAACAAAAATGCTGTTTTCTGAATACAGCTCAACTACCCATTAACTAATCACTCATGCATGGGACCTATAAAACGAAGATTCCTTAATTTGAAATTCTGACAGATTACAGAATACTTGAATATCATTGTTTTGTTCTTTCTGTTCTGTATCTAATGAGATAGAAACGGATAACAAATAAACATATTGACACTGGAATTTATTTGGAGATTCAGAACCAAAAACATTCTGAGGGAGTCCAGTCAAATATTGTATCTGCACCAGTGAGGACGGTGCCACCAGGGTAGCCTGAAGCTTTCCAATAGCTTGGAGTGCCTTCCAAAACACCAAAGGAGAATTAAAGTTAGAGTCACATAGTTTTATTGTCAAGCGCATTTCATTGTTCCAGTATTTGTAATTACTTACTTAGAGTGATGCAACTGATTTCTTCCTTGCCTATGAAATAAGCCTTAGTACTTTTATTATGCAATCTCGGACACAATAGGCTCCATGGGTAGGCGGGGTGGTGGGATTTCAATAGATCCTGGGAGGTGTAGAGATAACAAAAACACCTTAGAGATCATGAAGGTCAGCCCTTGGCTTTACTTATGAAGAGAACAAAGCCTTCAGAAGCTAAATTATCTGCTCAAAGTCACAAGCCTGGTCTATGACAGGGATGGGTTAGACCTTCTTTTAAGAGGCAACTGTACATGTGAAGACAAAGAAAAAGAAAAACAGTAGCGCAACCGAAATAAATTCTAAAAACACCTGTGTCAAGGTTTCACATCTAGATTACCAAAAATGAAGTTGTCATCCCAGGATTGAGTAGATACTAATTTAGGAATAAAAAAACTAAGGGTGAAAAAAGGAACAATTCGTTGTTACCAGTGTTGGTTCACCAAAACAGGTACCACTTATGCAGTAAATTTTATTCAACAATAACAATACTAATTAATAAATAAAAATTACTTTGTTTTAAGAGTAAACTATACCCAGAGGTTTATCAAAAACAGAGCACCATAAAAAGTTAGGATTTACTTTTCCTCTCTGTTAGAAAAAAAATGATTTTTAAACATTCTTTTCATTTTAAGAAATATGTCATTGATTTAGTGAATGTATAAAGGGCGGTGATTGTTTCTTCCCTAGACGAGTGTTGTTTTAAGGACAAATGACATTAAATATATGGCTTTCCATGCTTCTGAAAGCTTGGATTTTTGTAAAATCAATAGTGTGAAGAGACAGAAGTTACTCCAAGCCAGTGATTCATCATGATGCTTGTCAGAAACCAGGAAAGTTACCTGCAAGGCATATAGGACTGAGGGACACTGCCAAAGTAGAATTGGGTATGTCTGAAAAAAATCTGAAATGATTTACCTCTTTTACCAGTATCAGAAAGTTTTAAAGTATTGGGAAGTAGATAAGTAGAGGCAGAGAAGATTCTCCTACCTTCTGGATGTATACTACAAATACAGAAGAGAGAGAGGCTGCCATTTGCAAAAGCAATGGGCCTGACGTTACTCCTGTGCAAATCATCTGTGTATTCACAAAGCATCCCTTGGCCTCATTTTGATCTCTCTCTGCCCACATGCCTCTTTGTATATAAAGGGTGCTGGTCCCCATTATTCCAGCAGGACCCTGGGGTGGCCACATTACAGTGTGTTGGATAGCGCATTTCCCTACAACAGTCATGAGCTACTCTCACAACTTCTACTCCCTGGGCATTTTCATAGAGGGTTCCTGCTTGCTCCTTGGCCCTGAAAATGAGGCACAAATGAAAGTGGTCTCTCAGGTCACCAGGCAAATGATGATTCAAGAAACATCTCAGGGGAAAGAATGTGATCATAGTACCAGCAACAGCAGTGAAAAGTAGCAGCATGCCCAGCACCCTAGCTCATAGCCACGCACTCTGTTTCTAAATGTTCTACATAGATGATCTCATCTGATCCTCATAAAGACCATTTGAGGCAAGTACTGATATTATTCCCATTATACAAAGAAAATGAGGCACAACTCAGTTAAATAGCTTGCCCCAAATTTACAAATCTGTCAATGGAAGAGGCAGGCTTCAGCCAAACCTCAGAGTAAGCTCCTTGAAGGTAGAGAATTTCTTTCTTTTGTTTGCCATTATGTCCCCAGAACCTAAAGCAATGCCTAGCACATAGCAGGCCCTCAGAAAACATGTTTCCAAAAACCAAACAAATGTACTAATGAATTCTAAGAAAGATGGAGGGAGGGAAGAGAGCAAGTGTCTTTGTCCATTCAGACTACTGTCATGAAATACCACAGACTGGGTAGCTTATAAAAAATAGAAATGTGTTTCTCCACTTCCAGAGGCTGGAAGTCTGAGATCAAGGCGTTAGCATGGTTGAGTTGAGGGCCCTCTTTCAGGTCACAGACTCTTTACTGTATCCTCACATGGAGGAAGGGACAAGGGTTCTCTCTGGAGCCTCTTTAATAAGGCACTCATCCCATTCATAATGGCTCCATCCTCATGACTTCAACACCTCCCAAAGGCCTCACTTCTTAATACTATCATCTTTGGGGGTTAAAGATTCCAACATACAAATTTCAGGGGACACATTCAGACCACAGCAGCAGGGATAATAGAGACCCACACAGGAAAAGACACTGTTGCCATGTTCCTCGATTTACAAGTTAGCTTGTAGCCCAGCAACCTTATTTATCAAGAAGGAATTTATTTGTAAAAAGAGAACAAGGACTAAATCCGATTTAGTTTTCCCCTTGAGGGAGGCAAGCTGTCAGAAAGCTTCAGAGGGATACACACTCAGGGTTCTTAAGCTGGATTACTCCACAAGGGAAAGAAACATTCCAGGCTGTCAGCTCTCAGGGTAGTTCCACCTGGAGTCACTGAGTGACAGTAGTTAATGGTCAAAAACCTCAGTCCTGACCGTGCTCTTCATTACCATTTCACCTCGGCTGTGCCATCGGGGCTCCCTCCCTCACTTTCTCTCAGTTGAAGACAATATCCTCTCTTGGGCTATTGAATGAGTAAGAAAAACCATCTTTGCTTAGTATAACCTGGATCAGAATCCATTTTGGGGTCATAATCCATTTGCTCAGATGGGTCTCATCTCCACTCAACCACAAGGAAGGTTCTAATAAGAAGCATTTTATCACACACAGTGTAACTTCAAGTGCTTTTGTTCCCAGGGGAAGAAACTTTTTTTTTTCCTACCTCTGGCAGCATCCAAATGGTAGAAATCTGTCCTTTTGTTTTCAAATTGATTCTAAATGGTTTTTAGAGCTATGGAATAGGAAGTACCGAAAAGGAAAGAACTGTAGAAATTATCAAAATTTGTGAAGACACAAAATACCCTAATTGCTCACATGTGGTCTCTAGACCACAAGAATTTAGAGAAGTTTCTCTTTGAAAAGTGTGGCCAGAAGTTGCTTACTAAAGTTTCAGTCAAAATCTATTGGTTTTTTTCCGCTAGACTTTTCTACTATTGCAGACAGAACAACCCTAGATTTCAAATTTAGTTTACTTGATTTTCAACATGAAAAACACCCCAAAATTTAATTTGTTCAAATAGCTCAGGTGAAATTCCGCTCTCTACCATCTGAATTCAGGTAAGGCTGAGGGAATAAACTGACATCTATTAAGCAAGTGTTAGTCAAGGTACTATGTGTCTAAGACAGGAAAGGCTGAAGCAGTTTTCCTTCATTGAGTCATTTGTATACAGAATAACTACATTGGTCATCAGAGACTGTGTTTACACAAGAAAACCAGGGTTAAATCATAAATTCAATTTCACATGCATTCACAAAGCTCTAGGTGGACACCTGGAATTTGATATTGTCCAGAGAAAGGAACAACTCTTAAGTTTTGTGGCCAAAGTCACTCTGTTAATGATGCTTATTAAACATTATATTTTCTCAAGGTTGTCAGCACTTTGAGTCTTAAAGTCTTCAACACTAGGGATGATATAATATCTATTTGTTCAAAGGATGTCAGTTACCACTAGGCCAATTACCAAGACAAGGTTAAAGAGAGGAAGAGTATTTTATCAGCCATCCAGGGACTGTTAAAGATGTCTCAGGAAATCCCCTGATATTTGGGGATCTTTTATTTCTCCTTGTCTTGTTTGTATTGCTAATAAATGAACTCTTTTTATAAGTCAGTGTTTTAATAATTTAGAATTTCAAGAGACTTCATTTGGGAGAATTTTTCAACAAACTCCCTTTTCTTTATCCCACTAGGGATAATACTAAATCATAATATGATATTAACTGGATTGGTTTCTCAACTCTCTGCTGCAGAATTTCTTGGTTCTTTCTACTGTTTCAAACGCTTGAACGGTAAAAGTTTTCCCTGCCCTTCTAACTCCCCAAGACCACCACCAGCATCTTAGGAAGTACAAAGATCAGTCAGTTCATGGCCAACCTGTGGACACAACGTGGGTGTAGCATCCCCAAGGTCAACACGAACCATTACCTCATTTATACCCAAGAAAATTGACAGCAATGGCATCCAGCTCCAGCTTTCCCTTTCATAATGGAGCACTAAGACATTAGTTTTCTCCATCTCTCATAGAAGGTAAGGAAAGTACAAAACTTCTGTTCTTTCTCCTTGATGTAATTCTATTAATTACCTTTCAGGGTAAAGGGAATAGTCCAAACTTTGGTCTCATGATGACAGTTTAGCAAGTCACATTTTTTTTTCCAGTTAAAGAAGGCCTTGTAAAAAGTCTAAGCACAGTTTGAGATCTAAAAAGGAGGATATCCCAGTGCCCCTTG